CCATTTGATGTATCTCCAGAAGAACTGTTGTTGCAATCGCAATTAGCAAATGGAACATCCACTAACCAATGCCAAACATTTTTGAATAAAAGTAAAACTATACTAATGAGAACAAAACCACATATAAACCAATTTAAGAGAATATGCTGTACAAGTATTGGAGACCAATAAACTGCATCAAAAACCAGATTTTCCAAACATATTTTTTAAACTTTTTTCTGAAACTTTACTGAACATATTTCTGATACCCACTTTCCAAATAGGACTTCTTTGTTTTTTTTTTTTGGTAAGGCAATTCATGCAGGATTGTTAACCAAGAGTTTGTCATGTTAAAAGTAGAATAGTTGAAATGTGTAAGACTTAAAAAGAAACCAACATGCCAAAAGTGTAGAAAGTAGAAAAGCAAAGAGAGCATCCTACCAAGATAATGGCAACCGCATGTATCAGCGCCTTGATGGCCATCTCATTTACTTGACTAACAATAGACTTGATCTGACATTTGCAATTAGTGTTGTGAGTCAATTTATACATGCACCTCGTACAGAGCATCTTGATATTGTTTATCACATTTTGAGATCCTAAAGACTTCTCCTAGTTTGGAATTATTCTTCTCGGTAGACTCTCAATCCAGGCTCTCCTACTTTACTGATGCTAGCTATGCAGGATCCATCACACTAGACCAGCGACTCACACTGAGCCACGGATCAAAGGCAATAGAGACCCAGTCGCAAGGGAGAACCAGTCACGAAACAAAGGAAAAAACTACGAACCAGAGCCAACTCAAAGTCAGCAAATAGCAAACGGCTCCTAGGGTTCCGACAATGGCTCTGATACCATGCAAGTTTTTTTTTTCTGAATGAAACTGTATATTAGATTGTATTAATTAAACAAAGAATATATCACTTATATAGAACACTAATTCCTAATACTAAACGAATACATTACTGATATAGAATTCTAATAGAGATAGAACACTAATTCCATGTGGGACATATTCCAACAAATTTATCACATGTTTCTGTATTGTGATACTTTTCTAAGTTTATGAAAAGCCTTATCACAGATGTATGCTCATGCTTATAACGATGTTCGCATCTTTGAGCTCTATCAAGAGATACCTCATGCTTTTCAGTCTACTTTGGGCTTCACTGTTGTTGAGTTTTTTGGATATCTCCAAGCCCGTTGGGAAGAATTGGCTCAATATGAGCCTTTGACCGAGCTTCCGCTAGAGGCTGCCTCTCTTATGTCCCAATCCCAACATCATGCCCGACAACACACTTATCAATTTCTAATGGGTTTAAACTCTAAATTCAAGTCTCTTTGGATTCAAATTTTAAACGCATCACCTTTGTCGTCTCTCTATGAAGCCTTTGCTACCATTGATAGTGATGAGCGCCGTCGGCGATTAGTCCAACTTAGCCCTTCTCCAGTGGCTCCAGGATTATCTGATCCGATGGCTCTTGCTGCACGTTCTAGCTCTCGGGGTTCAAGCGGTTGTGCGACTTGTCATCGTTGTGGTGCACCTAGGCATGTTAAGGCTCGTTGTTTCAAACTTCATCCTGCGTTGAAGCAACGATTCTCTGACACACGTGGTACTAGCTCCTCTTGTACTGCGGCTCTAGTGGAGGCCTCATGTTCCTGGCTCTAATAGTGTTCAATAGCTATAGACTTAGATTGGACAGATTCAGGCGCAACTCAGATCCCTCACCACTAGTTCTCAGGGCCCATCATCTACCTCCGCTGCTACTCTCGCTACAGGTACTTCTACTGCTTTCCATGTTCAATTTGCTAGTCCCTCATGGGTTCTGGATTTTGGGACTAATGATCATATGACGGGAAAGTTTTCCTTTATTTCCTCTCCAGTCCCCACTACTGTTGCTCAATCTATTCGTCTTGCTGATGGTTTTTCATCTTCTGTGCATCATACCGGTGTTGTTTCATTATCCTCTAATATTACCTTGTCTTCTGTTTTGCATGTTACTAATTTTACCTATAATCTTTTATCTACTTTGGTTCTCCCAGTGCATGGTTTGGTCGTTTTAGCTCAGTTATCCTATCCATGGGGTTTGCTTAGTGTCATTCTGATCATACTTGTTTCATCCGCCATAATTCTACAGGCCAGTGTATCATCTTGTTAGTTTATGTGGACGATATCATTCTCATAGGTGATGATACAGACAGCATTAGTCAGGTCAAAAGGGAGTTAGGCAGAGAATTTGATATTAAGAATCTGGGGAATCTAAAATACTTTCTGGGTATTGAGTTTGCGCGCTCTCATCAGGGGATTTCTTTGTCCCAGAGGAAGTACACTCTTGATTTGCTTAAGGATACTAGTATGTTAGGATGCAAACTTGCTTCTACTCCTATGGATCCTAATGTTTTTTTTTTTGATAACTCAGGGTGTCCGGGCCAACCAGCTTGCGCGCACCTCGACTAATCCCTGGGGGACCAATCCCACCGTCCACTAGCGAGGGGTCGATTTAAAGCCAGAGCAAAACTCTGTATGGACTGGCCTAATGTTAAGCTCACATCAGAGTCTAGTGAATTGTTAGCAGACCCAAGCATGTATCAGCGCCTTGATGGCCATCTCATTTACTTGACTAACAATAGACTTGATCTGACATTTGCAATTAGTGTTGTGAGTCAATTTATACATGCACCTCGTACAGAGCATCTTGATATTGTTTATCACATTTTGAGATCCTAAAGACTTCTCCTAGTTTGGAATTATTCTTCTCGGTAGACTCTCAATCCAGGCTCTCCTACTTTACTGATGCTAGCTATGCAGGATCCATCACACTAGACCAGCGACTCACACTGAGCCACGGATCAAAGGCAATAGAGACCCAGTCGCAAGGGAGAACCAGTCACGAAACAAAGGAAAAAACTACGAACCAGAGCCAACTCAAAGTCAGCAAATAGCAAACGGCTCCTAGGGTTCCGACAATGGCTCTGATACCATGCAAGTTTTTTTTTTCTGAATGAAACTGTATATTAGATTGTATTAATTAAACAAAGAATATATCACTTATATAGAACACTAATTCCTAATACTAAACGAATACATTACTGATATAGAATTCTAATAGAGATAGAACACTAATTCCTAATCCTAAAAGGAAAAAAGAGAACACTCTCAGGCCTCATTTGGGAGCAGGCTTTTTTAGTAACTTTTTAACTTTTTGACTAAAATGTGATATAAAAAAAACTAGTATGTTTGGAATGACTTTTTGACTTTTTACGAAAAGATATGCAAAAAGTAGAGAGAAAAGGGAATCTTTGACTTTTTTGTATGGGTTATTGGCTTTTTGATTTTTTTAGTGACTTTTTTGCTAAAAAGGCCACTTGCCAAACGAGGCCTGAATATAGGTATATTCTCACACATACAACCTAAAGAAAAAGAAAATAATTGAAAGGCTTACCTCTAAATGAGGCCAAGCCATGAAGATATATTGAATGAATATTTACAAATTAAGAAATAAAATAATCAAAGGCACTAAATCTGCAATTTACACAATCACAGATTTTATACAAAATACTAATTTCCTAATTCCAACACTCTGCCTCAAGCTGGTGTGAAGACATTCAACAAACGCAGCTTGCCAATAGAAAAAAGAGAGAAAGGATGGAGGGGGGAAGAAGAAAATAACAAATTGGAGAAGATGAACAAATGGGTGGTGGCAGTTTGGGTAAAGAGAGAAAGAATGGAAAGAAAGGAGATAGAGATTGTCTAATAAAGAGAAAATGAAAGTTAGAAAGAGAAGTGAAAAGGAAGAACTCTGTGGTGGTATTGGTGGGCGATGAGTGGTGGAATAAAAGAGAGAAAGAACTAGAGGATGGTATTTGAGGCATTTTGCAATGTTGTTAACGCTAGCAAAGTTTGCATCTTTTGAACTTCAAGGTGTTTTCATGTTTTAAGGCCTAAGCAAAAGGGGATAAATTAAAATTAGAGTAATTATCACCACAAATTCTCCACAAGAAATATTATCATAAGTATGCAACCAATTCAAGCTATCACATTGAAAATATTCAACACTGAAAAGCATGCAAATTACAAATCTCTTTCTTGAAATTCTAAAGTTTAGATAACACATCCACTATTTAACTTTTTGAAATTTAGCAGCCCCTCTTTTAATTCTCACCTTCATACTACTTTTTAGGTTCACTCTCAAGTCGTTAGCATGAAAATTGTCTGAAGCATGAAAATTCATAGAGGAATCCAACTCAGAACATGTCCTTTGAAAAATAGCATCCCGTTTCCCTGGCAAAGGATTATGACAATTCATCAATCAACTAGCACAAGAGCAAATGGAACATCCACTAACCAATGCCAAACATTTTTGAATAAAAGTAAAACTATACTAATGAGAACAAAACCACATATAAACCAATTTAAGAGAATATGCTGTACAAGTATTGGAGACCAATAAACTGCATCAAAAACCAGATTTTCCAAACATATTTTTTTAACTTTTTTCTGAAACTTTACTGAACATATTTCTGATACCCACTTTCCAAATAGGACTTCTTCTTCTTTTTCTTTTTTTTTTGGTAAGGCAATTCATGCAGGATTGTTAACCAAGAGTTTGTCATGTTAAAAGTAGAATAGTTGAAATGTGTAAGACTTAAAAAGAAACCAACATGCCAAAAGTGTAGAAAGTAGAAAAGCAAAGAGAGCATCCTACCAAGATAATGGCAACCATTTACATGGAAATCAATCTTGATATCTATTAACTTTAAAGTTGAAGCAAAGCTACGTCATTTTAGGGGGTGTAGTTTTAACGTGATTTTACTTCATTTTTAAACTCGAGCCGTTGGACTATGCATTTTGCTAATGTGTCTTGTTAAGAGAAAAAAAACACAACTAGATCATTGTCAGAAACCATGGCAAAGGATCCTTATCCTTTATATGTGCCCATTATAAGTATAACACATTTTAGGTCATACTTGTGCAAAATTCTTATCAATTGAAAATGGAATATGCTCAACATTCCACCACAAGGATAGAGTTTTGCAAGGATAAAAAGAAATATTAATCCTGACTTTTCCAACATAGACTGTTCAAAACGTACCTTCACCATTGATTAATAAATTTCTCACACGTAAAGCTGAGGAATCGATCCGCCAACACGGGCATGGCATTAATTGTCTGAAAAGTATAATGTTGTCAGAAAGGTTCAGCTTTCAAGTGAAATTCAGGTTAATTTTATTGCTCGTACATTGATGACAATAAGAAAGATTATAAATCTTCCAATAAAGAGTTTCCTGATCTATCATATTTTATAAAGATGCTCTTTTAAAAATTTAAAAAAAATTTAAAAAAAAATCGAAATTAGAATCAATACTTCAAACACTGCAAGCACTCCTTATGAGCACAAAACTATGCACGCTATGGAAACAATTTCCAAGAGCATTTGAACCAAATGAGCTCAAATTAATCCAAGGCTGCTCCCATTCTGTGGCTTGAATTCATTCAATTTTCAAATCATAGTTTCAAGCAACATAAATTCATGAAGCAAGCAAGGCCCAAACCACAACTTTTTTCCACTACTCTCTACAAATCAAGCAGGCAATACTAGAAAACAACAGCTCCAAGTGTCACTCCATGGAGTCCATTACTTTCATGTGTTTTTTCACCAATCTTGCTACGGACGCCCCTTAAAACACCAAATATTGACTGCACTCGTGCTTTGGGGAGTGTCTGCAATCTTTTTGGCTTTTCCACATATTGACTATATACTCTCCTTTTGATCATACATATGAATTCTAAAAATGACACGGTTGTGCATTTGCATCTATTCTATTATATGAATGAAGTGTACAACTCGATTTAGTGTGAACTTTGTCACACTTTTTTCCATTCCCAAATTGCCCCTATACAACTACCTCTGCACAACTACTGCAAAATTTTATTCAAATGTCGAAACAGGATCAACTAAGACAGAAATAAAGCCTTTGGCTGAACTCTTCTTTGGTGTCAAGGTAATAGCTATGACTAATCATCGCCTTCCGGGAAAGGGTAGACGAATGGGACCTATTGATACCAAGTCATTATCATTAGTATCACTATCTAATAATTTCTTGCCATTTACCCTTCACATGTAGGTTTATTGTTGGTCGGTGATATCATGTGTCAATGCTGATGTTGGATTACCGTGACACTCAATTTTTACTCCTGTTATGAGGCATACAATGCATTATGATCATAACGCTTCAACCGGGTTACTCTATTCCACTTCTTAGAAAGAAAAAAAACTTAGATCAAAATTTAAAATTCAAAATTTGAAAACTTCTTCATTTTTTATTTATTTTCAACTTTGTTGATTTTCATAGAATACTCATAGGTTAATGAGCACCGCTTGGCCTATGATTATAAATTTCGATATTTATGTGTGATTCTGAATTTTTAAACAAATGATAGATATAGAAACACATAAACAAAGAGACGTAAAAGACATCAAACAAAACTCCCAAGTGACCGACCTTTTCGAAGGACAAGAAATCGCGTTTAATCTTGAAATTCGAGGCGAAATCCGCGGCCGCGAGCTGTTCAACTGAAGCACATGCATCCCTCTGTTTCTCTCTCTAGATTTTTCTCTCTTTCTCTTTAGTGGCTCAAATGGGTGAAGAAAGACAGAGAGATTCAGAGCTCAGAGCATGGCAGGTGAAGACTAGGATTGGAAATCAATAGAGAGATGACAGACATTTTTTATTTATTTATTTTTTTTTGTTTTTTTTTGGTTATATTGTGGGTGTTTGAGAATTTGTTACTTAATTATTTTAGTTTTTAGTTATTTTAGTAGATTTTAAAATATTTATATTTGGGAAGAGGGTTGAATTTTTTTATAATTAGATGTGATATTTGTAAGAGAAAAAGTGAAATGATTATAAATTTAATGTAACATTTTATCTTATTGACTATTTTAGTCTATTTTATTTTTTTGTGATTTTTAATCCAAAAAAGTTAAAATAAAAAAATAAAATAAAATAAAACTTCCAAAGCTCAGTTGGTCTCAACGAATGGAGAATGTTAGCTTATTATGTATTGTTAGACTCATTCTAATTCAGAAAGAAGAAATATAAAGATTTTATTAATTATTTTAATTTATTTTATCTTTTAATATTATTTTAATTTTTATTAATTATTTTAATTTATTTTATCTTTTAATATTATTTTAATTCAAAAAAAAGTTAAAAAAGTCTTCTACCCAAACACCCCATTATCATTTATTATTTTTTGATCTCAAGTGTTTGTTTGTTGTGTTATTAATTACTATTTTTAAGGTAAGGACAGAGAGAGGCACATAGGCACAAAGCCGCACTGGGTGGGATCTGGGGTTGGTGAGGCGCACCACCGCTCTTGTGAGATCTCTGGTCACGGTTCGTTTAGTGGCGAGCATGGTCTGAATTAGTTTCAATTAAAATAAAATTAGGATCTATTTGTTATTTATTATTTTTGAAAAATTAAATTTGATTCAATCCGTTTAAATTATGAAATCAATCCGAATTAATCCATTTAAATACGGATTGAATCGGTTTAAAATTACGGATTCACAAAATTAAATGACAAAAGAATATATAAAATATTTTAATTTCATAAAGACAAAAATATAACATCATATTAGTTTCACAATAACAACACGTCTTTCCATAATAACGACATACTATTCTAGAATTTAAAAAATCATAAGAAAACTAGTTTTACTATAAGTATTTAAATCATTACAAATTAAAACTAAAAACCAACAAACAAAAGTAATAAAAGAAGATACTATGTGGATTTAGGTTTGGGTTTAAGTTTGATATGGAATAAGAGAAGATATTATGTGGGAGTGTGTATAATATAAATATTGGTTATTTTATACGGTCCGGATCGGTTCCAATCCAAAACCGTGAGGTTCAATCCGGAACCGATCTGTGGACTACGAATTTTAAATTTTTCAATCTGAAATCGAACCATGGATTCAAAAAACCAATCCAAACCTACTGGATTGGACTAGACCAAATCAGATTACGAATTTCGCAAATTCCTTCCTTAGCCCTATTTTACATGGTTTCATAATAATACTTAAAAATTGACTATTTTAATTAGATTTTAGTGTTTTGATTATTTTAATTTAATTAAAATAATTATATTTGAGAAGTTAGTTGATTTCTTTTGTAGTTGATTTGATGATTGTAATATGAAAAATGAAATGATTATAGATTAGATATAACATTTTGTTTTATTGACTATTTTAATCTATTTTGTTTTTTTTTTTTGGCTCATCCCAAACACCTTCACAATTTATTAATCATATTATATATGAAAAGAAATTAAATTAATCAAATATGTGTAACCTTGATCAAGTGCAATTTATAAAAATAAAAAAAAATAAAAAAACTATCAAAATTATTCTAACTTTTATTTTTTACAAAGTAAATGTGGTCTTATTATCAAGTTATATATGTTTAATTAATATGATTCTTTTCATAAATGATATCTTCGATGAATATAATTCGAATTATTAAAATAAGTTAAAAAGTTTTAATATCATGATGATATTATTGATGTGATATCATCAACCAACAATAAACTTATATATAGCGAATGAATCTCATTTTCAATCTTTCACATATAATGGTAAGAAATTTTTTAGATAGTATCATCTGTGATATGGCATCACTGTTGCACTTCACTTTTATTTCCACCACAGGTGTTGTCTTATCTTAGTATATTTAATTTTAAATTGATTTATTAAGTAAATTATTTATTAAAAAATTTAAATTAATTAAATATTGATAATTATATAATTGAATTATACATATAATTTTTTTAAATAATTAATAAATATAATTTTAAAAATAAATTATAATATGATCATATGATTATTAAGGCCAAGTTTGGCTAAACTAAAAAAATGCACTTATTTCATCTTTTTATCTTTTTTGGGTCACATCAATCAATATCTCCTCTCTACTTTTTCTACACATAATACAAAAAAAGTCAAAAAGTACACTTATTTAGTCTTTCCAAACTTGGCCTAATATTTAATCAAATATGAAAAAACTACCGGCCTTGCCAATAGGTTTCATCCATTTGGTTTAGTGGACTAAGGGCAAGTTTAAAAAGTTACCATAATAGTTAGCCTCCGTTTGGGAAGTGGGTTGGCATTTTGACTTTTTTGACTATTTTAGCCTGGGCTTAAAAACTTAGTTTGGGAAGGACTTTTTGGCTTTTTTGAGTTTTTTTGTGAGAAAAGAATGTAATGATTATAGGTTTGATGTGATGTTTTGTTTGTTATGGCTAAAATAGTCTATTTTGTTTTTTGTGGCTAAAATAGCCAAAAAAGCCTGCAAACCCACTTGCCAAACACAGGCTTATTAAGATTTATTTGGGTAATATGGTTAAAAGTTAATTTTTTTGGATTTTTTATATTATTTGGTCACATTATTTTTTTATTTTTTTGTACATTTTTTCAAAAAAAAAAAATCAACTTTTAACTTATTTTTCAGAAATAGGCTTAAGTCAAAAAATACCAAAAAGTCAAAAGATTAAAGAACTGTATAAAAAAAGTTAAAGATTCTCTTTCTTCTTACTTTTTGTATGTATTTTCGTAAAAAGTCAAAAAGTATCCTAAGTATACTAATTTTTTTCACCTCATATTTTAACCAAAAAGTTAAAAAGTTACCAAAATAACTTAAGATAAATTACACTTTGCTCCCTTTCTGTTTAGAGTCACTTTCACACTTTGGCCCTTTAAGTTTGTTTTTTCCCACTTCGACCCTTCATGTTTTATGATTTTTCCAATTTAATCCTAAAGTTAATTTCGAACCGTGTTATGATGTTTCTCCAAACAAAACGCTTTACGTCGGTATCTCGGATGTGGGTTAGTGCCTTCGCTTCTACCCATTTTGTAAAATAATCTGTCGCGACAATCAAAAATCACTTGTTACCCGGGGCACGCGGCAGTGGTCCGACAATGCCAAGTCCCCATTGGGCGAACAGCCAAGGACTGGTTATGGAGCTTAGCTCTTCAGCAGGCAGGTAGGTCAAAGGAGAGAACTTCTGGCACTGTTCACACTTTTTTACGTAGCATTCGGCGTTTGCTCTCATTGTCAGCCAGTAATACCCTTGTGTTATGGCTCGATGAGCCAAGGACAGCCCGCCAGAATGGGCGCCACAACTGCCTTCATGTATTTCAATCAAAAGCTCCTCGACTTTGTCCGGGTGCACACCTTCCAAATATGGACCAGAGAGGGATTTTTTATAAAGCCTTCATTGCGGGTCCAAGTAGTATCGCAAGGCTTTGTTTCGCAGCTTATGCACTTCTTTCTTGTCCTCTGGGAGCTGTTCGGAAGACAGGAATGCGGCAATGGGATCCATCAAACTCGGTCCATATTCTATAACATTGACCTGGACTTCTTCCGAAGGGCCAATGCTCGGCTCTGGAATGAAACCTACTTCGATGGTTCGTTTAATCTCTGAGTTGATGGCGGAGGCTAGGCAAGCAAGGGCATTTGCATGTGTGTTCTGATCACGTATTATCTGGTTCAATTCATGATGGTCAAATTTTGCCAGCAAAGAGTTGGCCATTTTCATGTAACCCGCCATACAGTCGTTTCTTGTCGCATACTCTCCCTTTAACTGATTGATCACCAGTTTTGAATCGCAAAATACAAGCAAACGCCGACCACCCAGAAGATGTGCATTCCGCAAACCGGCTAGAAGGGCTTCGTATTCGGCTTCGTTGTTTGACGCTTCTAAGCCGAGTTTGACGGCTTGCTCAATTATTACGCCGTCGAGAGCCATGATTACAACTTCGGCTCCGCTGCCCCCCTGATTGGATGACCCATCACAGTACAACTGCCAAATGTTCCCAACATAAATTCTCTAGTTCGGCTCCGGTCAAATCTCATCGGACTTGAAATCGGCAAGACCCCCAGTGAATTCAGTGACAAAGTTAGCAAGCACATGTCCCTTGATTCAGGTTCTAGGTAGAAACTGAATGTCGTACTGGCCGAGTTCAAGAGCCCACTTTGAAACACGTCCTGATGCTTCTGCACTTTGTAGTACTGATCGGAGGGGATAATCTGTTAGCACCCCAATGCTATGTCCTTGGAAGTAATGCATCAGTTTTCTTGCCGCCATGACTAGGGCTAGGATGAGTTTTTCCAGCAGAAAGTAGCGTGCTTTGGCGTCAACCATTGCCTTGCTCACATAATACACTGGCCGCTGCTCCCCCAGCTCTTCCTTTATCAGTACGGCGCTGATGGCCCTGTCGGAAACTGCCAGATACAAAATGAGCGGGTATAAACATCCCCGAACGCCCCGGGAGGATGGGTCCCGTTCCGTTCATATTGGGGTCACTACATGTTCGGACTCTCAAATTGTCATGGTTCTTAATCTGAACCGAAGAGTCCAAATCCGGCAAATCGTTTTGAGAAAACAGATTTTTTGAAAGAAGTGCCAAACATGGACTGCTTTGCCAGATACAGAGTCGCCACCTAAATATTTTATTTTTGAAAAATTTAGGAAACCCTGACTCATTGCCTAAGGCCACGTGTTCGTCATCACCAAAGTTGCCTCAGCTCGGGAACTTAAGTACGATTGGGGAAGCTCACTTCGTGAGCACCCCCGCTCGCCCGATCGAAGATCGGCCTCTACTAACCATGATATCTAGTTTTGAAAACTTTATGCGTTCTTATTCCGGTTATTAGCCTAGATTTACTATGTGATGCGCACAGCATACAA